CCCAGTTCATAGCAGATGAAAGTAAGTGTATTGTGTTTTCAACCGCACTGAGACTGACGTCTTTTCATTGGTCAGCCGGTTAGCGCGGTCGATGCTAATAAGAAACACACACAGACAACCAGGCAGAGGACAGACTCTAGACAGAGGAGTAAGGTACAGGTTCTGCTGCAGACCAGAACAGCTCTACGCAGGGGCGTACCATGCCATGTGCGGAAGGTGAACTGTGCCCTCAACAGGATAAGGCGCCGCAGGCCCCACACGGCCACCCTTGCAAGGGAGCATGTGGCGGGCGACTCCACGGCAATTGCGGCAGCATGTTTGGCGACAACGAACAGCACCGCATCTGCAGTGCGTGCGTCGCCAAGGACGGCAAGCGCAAGGTGCCAACTGCTGACACCGGTGGAAGGGGACAATCTAATCGCCCGAAGGTCACGAATGGGGGGAGTAAGAAGTCTCAGCCTTCTCGTAAGGGGCCTCGTGCGCAGCCGGATTTGTACGCCAAGCTTGAGATGCTGAAGCTCATGGATGCCAAGGTCACTCATGAGCAGAAAGCGGACCGCTGCAGAGCATCAGGGGACCTCTGCATTGGAGACCGTTTCCCACAAAAAAGCAAGAGGAACATCTGCACCAGGGAACCTCAACGCCCCCATCGTTGGAGAACCGCTGCGTTAGGGGACCTCTTGTTTTCTTGCGGTGCGCTGTCTGTTTTTTTTTTTTATTGTTTTTTGTTGCAACATCGAAGGGGGTGCGCCAGGTAGACACGAGAGAATTTGTCGCGACGCAGCAAGGGCGGGGGTTACAGCTGTAGTTGTGTGCTTCTTTTGTTTTTTCCTTGGTGCGCAAAATTGTTTTGTTTCTTGATTTTCAATTTTTAACATCGAAGGAGTTTAACAAGGGGTGAAATTTAGAGTAAACCNCTTTTGTTTTTTCCTTGGTGCGCAAAATTGTTTTGTTTCTTGATTTTCAATTTTTAACATCGAAGGAGTTTAACAAGGGGTGAAATTTAGAGTAAACCGGCCAATTAACGAACGCTTAAGCCACCCCTCGCGCCAACAGCT